ATACGAACCGTCGTTCGATCGATTTTTTGCTTCTGGATACGAAGGAAATTTCAGGATGCGAACTTGCCCCTCAAGGGAGGTTCCTTAAATAAGTTAATAAAATATTTATTTCTTTGCAAAGGTTACAGTATGTGTTTACATATCATAATATGATTGGAGCAAAAAAAGCCACTATCATGCTGAGGCATTTCGGGCAGACTTAACCTAATACTAATAGACTACTAGACAGGTGAAAAGTGTACTAGTAGTGGTTACCAATGTTTTGCTGATGGTGGTGTCAGCTACTGGCAGCCTTTTGAAGTTTCTCCTTACTGTTATTATTATTATTATTACTAACATATTGTATTATTATTATTATAATAATAATAATAATTATTATTATTATTATTAGTAGTAGTGGTAGTAGTAGTAGTGGTGGTGGTTAGTAGTAGTAGTATAGTAGTACTATAGTAGTACTAGTAGTAGTACTAGTAGTAGTACTACTAGTACTACTACTAGTACTACTACTACTACTACATGGTGAGGGGCTCTTGATCTAGAGAATTGGATCTGTGCTCCAGGTCCCTAAATTAATAATAATAATAATAATTATTAGTTCTTACATATTATTATAATTATGATAATAATACATAATAATATAATAAGTACATGAGATGTGAGAGATACATGTCTAGTACATATTGTTACGTGTTTGTCGCTGATTATAATGCAAAAATCTCATCCAGCTCTTCAGAAGTGGGGCGTGTGCCCAAAATACAGCAGGCATTTCCTCGCTGAGTCACTGGAACAGAAAACTAGCTGCCCTGGGATCCCTTGTTACCCTAATGAGTCTTTTGCCTAGCTTCTTAAGGAACTTAGATGCACTCTTTCCCCATGAGCCAAGGGTCTCTGAGCCTATTGGAACAAACATAATGATGGGCAAGTTCTCCATATTTTCTAGACTTTTGGGACTCCCTGAAGCTGGCGGCTGCCCCTCCTTCCTCCTTGGTGTATTGGAGATAGGTATCAGTCAAGCACCATAATGCTCACCAGTGCACATGTGCTTACGGAGCTACCCTTGCTGTGCAAGGAATTATTGTGATTTCCTTATGTTTCGTGCAGTTAATTCGCCAGATTTCTTTCTTCTAACCATGGGTCCTATGGAAGCAAGTGCAAAGGACAGTGCCGAAAAGAAAGAGAGGATGATTTTCGTGGAATTAAAGCCAGAAATGATTAATAAACATAGACTAGGTACGAGGGTTGAGGACTTTCTCTGACTTCCGGCTCTCTCTTAGACAGAGGGACTTGTCAGCCAATGAGCCAACCAGTCAGCCAGCCAGTCAGCCAACGAACCAACCAGCCAGCCAGCAAGCTGAACACATCATAGCAGCATATGTAAACACTGCATGTACTGATTAGTATGCAGGAATCAACAAAGTTTATCACCAACATAGATTTGAAATCCTGCGGTCCACCTCTCAGTGCTCCAAGTTTTTCCCCCAAAAGTGGCACCGTGTTAGTTGAATTTTAAAGTGTTAGTTGAAAATATGCCGCAATAGTGCAATGGAGAAAACTGTCTACTGTATTTCTCTTTTGGGGTAGACGGTATCTGTATCGGGCAGTGACAGTTAGTGAGGATTCGCTCTGGCACTTCCCCCACTGGTTGTGATTGGGGGACAGGTCACTGTTGAGCGGCAGATACAGGTGTGGTACTATACATTTATACTATCTGCTTTGTGACATTGAGGGTGAATTCTGCATAATGAAGTCGTTTTCCAGTCTTTATTTTGTATATATTGAAGGCATTGAGCACTGCAATGTCTGCAAGGTGGAAAAACACATGTACCACCTGCGACTCCTATGAACACAATCAACGAACCCTATCATCATGTCATGCTTGTCTACTAGTTGCTTATTGTTCGTATAGTTGACGACAACAGCTGCCTTTACAGTGCATTCATTGATGTCCCTGTTCACTTTGTATCATCTTGTTTCTGTGAATGGTTGACAGCAATGTCATGTCCTGTTTGTCATGACATGTCATTGCCATGATGTCATTAGTATGAAATGCTTGTACTGCACCTTCAACACTGCCTCCAGTGAACCTTGGCATATATTTTCTGTTTCTTCTCACTGTTCCACATACAGTGGAACCTCGGTTTTCGTCATTAATTCATTCCAGAAAGTCTGACAAAAACCAAATTCAGTGAAAACTGAAGCAATATTTCCCTTAAGAAATAATGTAAATCCAATTAATCCATTCCAGACACCCAAAAGTATTAACAAAAAATACATTTTATAGAGAATAACTAAAGTTTTACATACAGAAAACAATGAGAAATAAATATAAAGGGCTAATGAAATGGATAAATGAACATTTAACATCACTTTTACCTTTATTGAAGACTCTTGTTGGCATTTGGAAGACAGCGAGGAAGGGAGAGGAAGGAGAGGTTATCTCTACCACCATCACTACCATCCTCTACCACCATCACTACCATCCTCTACCACCATCACTACCATCCTCTACCACCATCACTATCACCCTCTACCACCATCACTATCACCCTCTACCACCATCACTGCCACCCTCTACCACCATCACTTCCACCCTCTACCACCATCACCACCACCCACCACCACCCACCACCAACGAGAAACAAAGCCAGACTGAGTCAGAATACGTGGGATGCTTTGTGCAGGTGCAGACGGACACGTTCAGTATGGCAGACCACTGTCAGCTCTACGAAAACTGAAGTGATGAACGAAAACTGGGACAAAATTTTGATGAAAAAAGTCCTCAAAAACCAAATTCAGCAAAAACCAGGGCAAACAAAAACCAAGGTTCCACTGTATATCGGTATTGTTGACATGGAGGAAATCAGTGAGCAAAGGGCTTGTATACCAGTTGTCTGTGAACAGTGTATGATCCTTGCCAAGGTATGGCCCCACCATCTTGCGAACATTACCAGAAATGCCCAACATCCTCCTGGTATCATCGAGTGTGTTTTTCCTGGTATAGACAATGACATTCAACACTGTGCCATTCTCACAGTCACACGTAACAAAAAGTTTTATACCAGAGCAATTATGTTTGCTCAGTATATATTGTTTGAATGACAGTTGTGCCTTGAACAGAAGTGCAACATTCATAGCAACTGTGAATCTGTTGCAGGGGAGGAGGTCACGGAAGACAGGAGTACTGAGGAATTAGTCTGTGGACCAATATGTACTGTAGTGTGCTTATACATACGAGGCATAAGCATGACAGTATACCTGGAATTTACCTGGAGAGGGTTTCAGGGGTCAACGCTCCCGTGGCCCGGTTTGAGACCAGACCTCATGGTGGATCAGGGTCTGATCAACCAGGCTGTTACTGCTGGCTGCACGCAAGCTGATGTACGAACCACAGCCCAGTTGGTCAGGTATGTACTGACTTTAGGTGCCTGTCCAGTGCCTTCTTGAAGACAGCCAGGGGTCTCCTGGTAATCCTCCTTTTGTATGCTGAGAGGCAATTGAACAGTCTTGGGCCCCAGACACTTATTGTGCTGTCTCTCAGTATACTTGTGGCATCCCTGCTTTTCATCAGGGGAATGTTGCATTTCCTGCCGAGTCTTTTGCTTTCATGTGGAGTGATTTTCTTGTGCAGGTTTGGTACCAATCCCTCCAGGACCTTCCAAGTGTATATTATCATGTATGTCTCTCTCCTGCGTTAGAGGGAATGCAGATCAAGGACCTTCAACCGTTCCCAGTAGTTTAGGCGCCTTATCGCACATGTGTGCACCAAGGAATAAGTACATTTCAGCCACAGTTGTATCCTTCCACCTGTGCAGCCATGACAGTTCTGCAGTCTCTGTGTTGTCCATTATATAGCAGTAGTGTTGTTCGTCTGGGTGATGATCAGATTCATTATGGGTTCGTCAAAGTATTGTTGAAAATACTCTATAGACTCATTCATGATGGGGGCATTCTGGGAGGATACCATTTCCACTGGCATCAAAATTGAAAGGATGTGGCATGAATATTGTACTTTCTGTCCAGTTCTATTCATAGGCTGATTGTGCAAGGTGGACCTGTGGCATTGGCATGGGGAAGCAGGAGGAGGAGTGGGAGTGGAGGCAGCACACGGTTGAGGGGGTGCCAGGCGGTCCTTTGTCTGCCCGCCCACTGCACCATGTGACCCAGGCACTATGCCACCCCCCTTCTCTATTCCCGCATATTCCCTTTCATGTTCGGTATCACTATCATGACTTCCCACTACCCTTGGGATCTGCATATGGCACACTGCCTGAATGTAAGCGATGATGCCTAAAGGTACGCTTCACTGGGGAATAACGTATATCACTGTCACTTGAAGAATCCTCTATGGGCATAAAATCAATCTCATCGTTACTTACATCATTTTCACTATTGTCACTATTGTCAATTGATAATTTCCGTTTGCCTGGTTGCTTCTTGAGTAGTAATGCTGGCCACCCCAGAGGTGATGGGATGTGGGTCATCTGGGTTATCATCAATATTTGTACTAATTTCTCGATCATTTGTGACCACATCCATCTCAGATCCACTAAACTCAGATTCTATATCACTTTCCTCAAATAAGAGGGCATTAATACAATGGAGCATGAGTGAATCCTGAGGGTTTACCATGATGATAACCCAAGCTGGTGCTGTAACTAATGCTACCACGTGGTACTGCAGGGTCCCCGATTTTTTCATACTGTGCACACTGAGTGCGCAGACCCATTCTCTCATGTCTAGGTGGCCTCTCAGGCCTATCGTGCCAAATTGAAGGCAGGAAAAATAAAAGGTCGATCTACGTTTGGTGCGGCAGCGGTAAGAACATAGATCAATGTTTGGACAGTAAAGAATTAATGGTTTAAAAATTAATTTAACAGATTTTATCAAAAGGAGCTTGTTCAGCCATGTTGGGTTGCATTATTGCTGTTAATTTTATATTTACAGCTATGCTATTTTTATGCCTGATAATGATTATTACATGTGTTTTTAATATATTGCAGATCTTCCATACCCTGCTGCAGCCTTTCTTGTGGGCGTATGTGCTTGTATCTGTTTTGTGAACTCCCTCTCTGGAGAATTTGTATTTGATGACTCTGAAGCCATTGTCAATAACAATGATATTCGAGGCGAGACTCCCCTTGGGAACCTTTTTCACAATGATTTCTGGGGAACTCGTCTTACTCATCCATCAAGTCACAAATCATATAGGCCGCTGACAGTGCTTTCATTCAGGTAGGTTTCTAATTTAATATACATTTTTGTAGAGCACATTACTTATTGGATATTTGTTGAAGCTCTGATTTTGATCATTAATCCTTTGAAGGCATTAAACTCGTATGTCCCAGTATCTTAAATCTTTCCCAAGCTAATGTTAATTATTCAGTTTTCTTTCTGATTATTTCATTGCCTTCTCATGTATTGAAATTAATCATAAATGGCACCAGTTGTGTCCAATATTCAGAACTGTCATTTTAACATCCTCAGTAGAATTTACAGATGAGGGTCTGATCTACCAGGCTGTTACTGCTGGCCGCATGCAAGCTGACGTACAAACCACAGCCCGGTTGGTCAGGTACTGACTTTAGGTGCCTGTCCAGTGCCTTAAAGACAGCCAGGGGTCTATTGGTAATCCCCCTTATGTATGCTGGGAGGCAGTTGAGCAGTCTTGGGCCCCTGATGCTTATTGTGTTATCTCTCAATGTACTCATGGCACCCCTGCTTTTCATCGAGGGAATGTTGCATCTCCTGCCGAGTTTTTTGCTTTCATAGGGAGTGATTTTTGTGTGCAGGTTTGGTACCAATCCTTCCAGGACCTTCCAAGTGTACATTATCATGTATCTCTCTCGCCTGCGTCTGAGGGAATACAATCAAGGACCTTCAGCCATTCCCAGTAATTTAGGAGCCTTATCGTACTTAGGTGTGCCGTGAAAGTTCTTTGTACACTCTCCAGGTCTGCAATGTCACCAGCCTTGAAGGGGGCTGTTAGTGTACAGCAGTATTCCAGCCTAGAGAGCACAAGTGATTTGAAGAGAATCATCATGGGCTTGGCATCCCTAGTTTTGAAGGTTTTCATTATCCATCCTATCTTTTTCCTAGCAGATAAGGTAGATACAGTGTTGTGGTTTTTGAAGGTGAGATCCTCTGACATTATCACTCCTAGGTCCTTCTCATTATTTTTCCGCTCTATTGTGTGGTTAGAATTTGTCGTATACCCTGATACATTTTTAATTTCCTCAAGTTTCCCATATCTGAGTATACATAGTTGAAATTTCTCCTCGTTGAACTTCATATTGTTTTGAGTGGCCCATTCGAAGATATGGTTGATGTCCACTTGGAGTCTCGCGGTGTCTTCGATGGAGGTCACTGCCATGGTAATCCGGGTGTCATCTGCAAAGGTAGACATGGAGCTATGGCTTACATCTCTGTCTATGTCAGAAATGAGGATGAGGAATAGAATGAGAGCGAGTACTGTGCCTTGTAGAACAGAGCTTTTTACCGTGGCTGCCTGGGACTTTACTCTGTTTACTATTATTCTTTGTGTTCTATTTGTCAGGAAGTTATAGATCCATCTACCAGCTTTTCCTGTTAGTCCTTTATCACGCATTTTGTGTGCTATTACACCGTGGTCACACTTGTCGAAAGCTTTTGCAAAGTCTGTGTATACTACATCTGTATTTTGTTTATCCTCTACAGCATCCAGGACCTTGTCATAGTGGTTCAGTAGCTGGGACAGGCAGGAGCGACCTGCTCTAAACCCGTGTTGCCCTGGGTTGTGTAACTGATGGGTATGTGTAACTGATGGTTGGTGATCTTGCTTCTTAGAACCCTCTCAAAGATTCTTATGATATGGGATGTTAGTGCTATTGGTCTGTAGTTTTTTGCAATTGCTTTACTGCCACCTTTGTGGAGTGGAGCTATGTCTGTTGTTTTTAGTGTGTGTGTGATGACCGCTGTGTCCATGCTCCCTCTCCTTAAAATGCTGAAGTCGCGCGATAGGGGCTTCTTGCAATTCTTGATGAACATGGAGCTCCATGAGTCTGGGCCTGGGGCAGAATGCATGGGCATGTCATTTATTGCCACTTCAAAGTCTTATGGAGTTAGGATAATATCTGAGATTTTTGAGATGACCACATTCTGGATTTCGTTCATAAATAATTCATTTGGATTGTCGACCCTTAGTCTGGGCAGTGGCTCGCTGAACACTGAGTCATATTGGGACTTTAGTATCTCGCTCATTTCTTGGCTGTCATCTGTGTATGTCCCATCTCACCTAAGCAGAGGCCCAATACTGGATGTTGTTTCTCTCTTAGATTTGGCATAAGAGAAGAAGTATTTTGGGTTTTATTCAATTTCCTTTATGGCTTTTAGTTCTTCCTGTGATTCTTGTCTCCTGTAAGATTCCTTCAGCTTAAGTTCAATATTTGCAATTTCATTGACTAGTGTCTACCTTCATATTTCAGATATATTGGCTCCACTCAGCAGCATCTCTCTCTTTCTAGTTTACATCTTCTCTTTCTTTTTCTTAATGGAATGTGTCTTGAGCAGTTCTCAAGAACTACAGAATTAATTTTCTCAAGGCAAATGCTAAGAGACAACACAATAAGTATCAAGGGCCCAAGAGTGTTCAGCTGCCTCCCTGCATACATAAAGGGGGATTACCAGTAGACCAGCCAGGCCATTGTTCATGCATCGGTTCGTATGTGGCCAGCAGTAACAGCTTGGTTGATCAGGCCCTGATTCACCGTGAAGCCTGGTCATGGACTGGGCCACCGGGGCATTGGCCCTCAGAATATCCTCCGGTTATACTCCAAGTTATGCAAGTGGGACTCCACAACAAGATACCTGTACCACTGTAATTGGTACACTGGGAAAAAATTAACAATGAACACAGATTGGATGAAGGAGTTGTACATACATTAACAAGTTCCCTGAAGTGTTTGCTTACACCCATAGTGACATTGCCCATTTCTGTCTCAGGCCTACTTTTACTTTAAAATAATTCCCTTCAGTCCTGCATACTCTAACCTGAGCTTCACTGTACACAAAAATACTTCACTGCTTTTAATTATACTTTATCATATTCTTGCAACATTTGCCATATTGTTGTCTTATCCACCTTATCATATGCCTTTTCTAAATCCATCAATGTGACAAAAATTTCCTTACCTTTGTCTAAATACTGCTCACTTACAGTATGTCCTTCAGTGTAAACACTTGATCAACACATTCCATATCTTTCCTAATCCTCCTTGTTCCTCTGAAACCTCCTTTTTCTGTTGTAACCCAGCTCTCAATAATAATTTATTATACACTTTACCTAGTGTACTCAACAGACTTATTACCCTATACTTGCTCTTGTTCCCTTTTTCCTTATTCAAAGGAACTGTGTATACTTTTTGCCTTCCTTAGATACCTTCCCTTCTATCATTCATATATTGAACAAATACACCTACCACTCCAAAACACTATCCCCACCTGCTTTTAACATTCTCTCTTTCTCTTAACCTTTTCAGGGTTGGTGCCATGCTAGTACGGCTTGCATGCCAGGGTTGGTGCCGTACTAGTACACATAAATTCTAGCGCCTTCAAATCTAGCGAGAGAAAGCTGGTAGGCCTACATGTGAAAGAATGGGCCAATGTGGTCAGTGTGCGCAGTGCAGCACACAGTGCATAATGAGAAAAAAACTCTTGATTGTGTTTTTAGTTTAAAACAGCGACTTTGCAGTGTATTTTCGTATGGTATTTATGGTTGTATTCTAGATTTCCTGGTCTCATTTTATAGAATGGAAGACATATAACAGAAATTGAGATGATTTTGATTGGTTTCACAATGAAAAGTACATGTACCTTCAAATTGGGCTCAAAGTAGCAGAAATGTTCGATTTTTGCCAAAGTTCAAAAGTAAACAAATCATGCCACGTGTCCAATACACATCAACTGATGAATCTAATATTCTTTCTAAGTGTGCTGATATTATTTATACCATTTCTACACTAATGCAGTTGTCTGCATAACAGTAAATCTTCTATTTTTTGTGTGAGTAAAAATTGAAAGTGGAAAGCAAAAGAAATGTAACAGAGGCCTGGGGACATGACTAATGAACAGAGGAAATGTTATTTTAGTGCCAGGAATGTCTGTCTTGTTGATTCTGGACCCTATTTGGAAATTGGCATCTTTTGAAATTTGAGTGAAATTGGCGAAATTGCCAATTTCTGACCACTTGATTGGATAGTTGAAATCGGTAAATGGGTGGTTTCTTGTACTCATTCGATAGAAAAAAATGGAGTTCTAGCAAAATAGTTATGATTTTTGTCGACTGAATTGGACAAAAATAGGGCTCAAAGTGGACGAAATCGCTGATGCGTAAACCGCCAAGACCGCTAACTTCGCAAGAGCATAATTCCGTAAGTTTTCCATCAAATTTCATACTTTTGGTGTCATTATGATCGGAAAAAGATTTTCTATCATTTCATGAGAATATATATTTATTTTTTTTTTCGACCCTGAGAACAAATTTAGGAGAGGGCCTGCTGACCCTGAAAGGGTTAATTCCATCTTTTGTGCTTCTGTAAGATGTTATCCCTCCCTGCCCAGTGCATAAAATCACTGCCTCTTTTTGGTTTTAACATCATTTCAAAATGTTTTCTCCACTTTTCCCATTCTTCTACTTTCCCATTTAACATCTGCCTTTCTTAATTAACTGCCAAGTCCATTTGTTCTGCAGGCTTTCTCAACTTATTAATCTCTTTTAATGTTATCATCAGAATTTTCCGACAGAGCTTCACTCATTCTCTCACTTTTTTTTTTTTAGTCCCTCACCACTCTTTTAATCTCCCCTCCATCCAAATATCATTGTAAAAACCTTTCATACGCATCGGCGATTTTGCCGACTTTGAGCCCTGTTTTTGGCCAATTCCATTGTTCCAGTTGACCAAACTCATAGCTATTTCTTTAGAACACCATTTTTTCTATCAGTTGAGTACAAGAAACCACCCATTTACCGATCTGAACTATCCAATAAAGTGGTCAGAAATTGGCAATTTGGCCAATTTCATGCAAATTAAAAAAGATGCCAATTTCAAAATAGGGTCCAGAATAAACAATGAGAATAAACATATGAGAAGTTTTTACAAAGTAGAAGTGATGCAAGGAGGGAGGAGTATATGGAGAAAAAGAGAGAAGTTAAGAGAGTGGTGAAGCAATGTAAAAAGAGAGCAAATGAAAGAGTGGGTGAGATGTTATCAACAAATTTTGTTGAAAATAAGAAAAAGTTTTGGAGTGAGATTAACAAGTTAAGAAAGCCTAGAGAACAAATGGATTTGTCAGTTAAAAATAGGAGAGGAGAGTTATTAAATGGAGAGTTAGAGGTATTGGGAAGATGGAGGGAATATTTTGAGGAATTGTTAAATGTTGATGAAGATAGGGAAGCTGTGATTTCGTGTATAGGGCAAGGAGGAATAACATCTTGTAGGAGTGAGGAAGAGCCAGTTGTGAGTGTGGGGGAAGTTCGTGAGGCAGTAGGTAAAATGAAAGGGGTAAGGCAGCCGGGATTGATGGGATAAAGATAGAAATGTTAAAAGCAGGTGGGGATATAGTTTTGGAGTGGTTGGTGCAATTATTTAATAAATGTATGGAAGAGGGTAAGGTACCTAGGGATTGGCAGAGAGCATGCATAGTTCCTTTGTATAAAGGCAAAGGGGATAAAAGAGAGTGCAAAAATTATAGGGGATAAGTCTGTTGAGTGTACCTGGTAAGGTGTATGGTAGAGTTATAATTGAAAGAATTAAGAGTAAGACGGAGAATAGGATAGCAGATGAACAAGGAGGCTTTAGGAAAGGTAGGGGGTGTGTGGACCAGGTGTTTACAGTGAAACATATAAGTGAACAGTATTTAGATAAGGCTAAAGAGGTCTTTGTGGCATTTATGGATTTGGAAAAGGCGTATGACAGGGTGGATAGGGGGGCAATGTGGCAGATGTTGCAAGTGTATGGTGTAGGAGGTAGGTTACTGAAAGCAGTGAAGAGTTTTTACGAGGATAGTGAGGCTCAAGTTAGAGTATGTAGGAAAGAGGGAAATTTTTTCCCAGTAAAGGTAGGCCTTAGACAAGGATGTGTGATGTCACCGTGGTTGTTTAATATATTTATAGATGGGGTTGTAAGAGAAGTAAATGCGAGGGTCTTGGCAAGAGGCGTGGAGTTAAAAGATAAAGAATCACACACAAAATGGGAGTTGTCACAGCTGCTCTTTGCTGATGACACTGTGCTCTTGGGAGATTCTGAAGAGAAGTTGCAGAGATTGGTGGATGAATTTGGTAGGGTGTGCAAAAGAAGAAAATTAAAGGTGAATACAGGAAAGAGTAAGGTTATGAGGATAACAAAAAGATTAGGTGATGAAAGATTGAATATCAGATTGGAGGGAGAGAGTATGGAGGAGGTGAACGTATTCAGATATTTGGGAGTGGACGTGTCAGCGGATGGGTCTATGAAAGATGAGGTGAATCATAGAATTGATGAGGGAAAAAGAGTGAGTGGTGCACTTAGGATTCTGTGGAGACAAAGAACTTTGTCCTTGGAGGCAAAGAGGGGAATGTATGAGAGTATAGTTTTACCAACGCTCTTATATGGGTGTGAAGCGTGGGTGATGAATGTTGCAGCGAGGAGAAGGCTGGAGGCAGTGGAGATGTCATGTCTGAGGGCAATGTGTGGTGTGAATATAATGCAGAGAATTCGTAGTTTGGAAGTTAGGAGGAGGTGCGGGATTACCAAAACTGTTGTCCAGAGGGCTGAGGAAGGGTTGTTGAGGTGGTTCGGACATGTAGAGAGAATGGAGCGAAACAGAATGACTTCAAGAGTGTATCAGTCTGTAGTGGAAGGAAGGGGGGTAGGGGTCGGCCTAGGAAGGGTTGGAGGGAGGGGGTAAAGGAGGTTTTGTGTGCGAGGGGCTTGGACTTCCAGCAGGCATGCGTGAGCGTGTTTGATAGGAGTGAATGGAGACAAATGGTTTTTAATACTTGACGTGCTGTTGGAGTGTGAGCAAAGTAACATTAATGAAGGGATTCAGGGAAACCGGCAGGCCGGACTCGAGTCCTGGAGATGGGAAGTACAGTGCCTGCACTCTGAAGGAGGGGTGTTAATGTTGCAGTTTAAAAACTGTAGTGTAAAGCACCCTTCTGGCAAGACAGTGATGGAGTGAATGATGGTGAAAGTTTTTCTTTTTCGGGCCACCCTGCCTTGGTGGGAATCGGCCAGTGTGATAATAATAATAAAATAATAAACAATGTAGACATTCTTGGCACTAAAATAACGTATCTCTGTTCATTAGTCACTTCTCTAGGCCCCTCTTATATTACTATTGCTTTCTATTTTGATATTTTATTCATACAAAAAATACAAAATTTACTGTTATGCAGACTACTGCATTATTGTAAAAATGGTATAAATAATATCAGTGCACTAGTGAAAGAATATTAGACTCCCCAGTTGACGTGTATTGGACATGTGGTATAATTTGCTTACTCCTGAACATTGGTAAAAATCGAACATTTCCGCTACTTTAAGCTCAATTTCAAGGTCGTTTTCATCGTGAAACTAATCAAAATCATCTCTATTTCTGTAATATGTTTTCCATTTTGTCACGTGAGACCATGAAAACGAGAATACAACAATAAATACTATACGAAAATACACCTCAAAGTCGGCATTTTAATCCCAAAAAAAAAAAAGAGTCAGTTTTTTTTTCTCATTACGCACTGTGTGCTGCAAGATTTTTTTTATGTGGTGCACACTGACCACACAGACCCATTCTCTCACATGTGGGCCTACCAGCTTTCTCCTGCTTGATTTGAAGCCACTAGAATTTATGCGTATTAATACATCCAAAACACTGGCTCGTAAGACGTATATATATGGCCAAAACAGTCAAAGGGTTAAAACATTAACATTCAGATATGTACACATCACCATTTTTTCTACTAATGCGAAGTCTAGCAATGGCAAGAACTATTAAGAAATTAGTAGGAAACTCAGACAAATCTGTTTACACCTATATGTATTAGTAAGACATACTTGTCATGTGTTTATGAGATAGCCCAGCAATCCTGCAGGTGTTTAACAATCAACAGGTTTTGGTTTCACACTCATATGACAGGATGGTAGCACCTCCCTAGGTGCTTACTGTCTGCCAACCTACTATCTATTACTCCTTTTATAAGCAGTTTATTCTAGTACTTAGGATTAGTAGACCTTCAAACATTTTATTGATTTTTAGTGTTTTCTGTTTTGTATTTCTCCATAAAATTCAGTAATGTTATTTATGTAATTTTCTCCACAGATTAAATTATTCCTGGGGTGCACTGGACCCATTCAGTTACCATGCTGTTAATATTGTGCTACATTGTCTTGTGAGCATCATGAGTCTTCGGGTCTTCTATGTGGTGTTTGGTACTGGTGCACCCCGTGCAGCACTCCTCTCAGCTATCTTGTTTGCTACACATCCAATACATACAGAAGCTGTAAGTAGACCAAAAAAGGGAGTTTAACCCCTAAACGGTCCAATGTATATATATATATATATACGTTCTTACGTGTAGCGCCCCAAACATATATATACGTTGTAATTTTCCTACCTCCAAATTTGGCACTATTGCCCTGAGATGCCTGGTTAACACTCGGTGTGCACCATATTAAAAAAATATTGGACCACTTAGTACCTTGTGGGAACGCCAGTTAAACAGAGCGCCAGCTGGAGCAAACAGTGCGACAAACACCAAGGATTCACTGATGTAATGTCATTAACACTCCCCTTTTAAGAGGAAAGTGATGTCTATCTCTGCCTGTCTGTTCTCTATCTCTGTTTCACAGGTACACATAAATGCAAGTATACATAGTGTAAATTACCTAGGGTAACCCAAAAAATCCAGACACAGTGCTATACTCTGCTTGAAGATTTGAGTAAACGTGATGACGCAGTCTTGTGGCTCTCTCTGAGACAGAGAGCTAGACAGATAGGCAGGGAGCTTGACAGACAAATAGACAGAAAGACGTGTTTGTGGGCCAGCGAAAACAAAGCAGGGCCGATTCTCATCAAATGTCACCTCTAATCTTTTCTAATCAAGTGTTATCACTGCACCCTCCCATATGCTTATGAAACGTCAGCTCTTATGAAATGTTATCTCATCTTATCATGTCACTGTCAGGGGTGGACGTTGTTTTTCATGCTTCAAGGGAACTTCTTATTGCCTATTATTATTATGTCGTCGTCTTCGTCTTCATCGTCTTCTTCGTCTTCTTCTTCCACAACAACAACATTATTATTGCTGGAACCTATAAATACTTTGTGTTTATTCTAAGACAGTAGTAAAATGGCCACCTGTCAGTGTGTTTGTGACAATTTCAGTACCTAATACTAGTGTCAGAACAAAGATTGGTTATGAAATGACAAGAACTACTATAAACTGTAATTATCAGAACATAAAAATATGAAAAATAGAAAAAAAGTATATCGGCAACACTTCTGCAAGCGGCAGGACTCGATGTTGCTGTCATGTGAGCATCCAGTACCAACTTCTCAGCCTCATATGTCTGCAAGTACTGACCCTAATTTTTTTTCTTTATCCTATAACACTTAGAAAAATGTGCTCTTTATTTTCATTACAAATTGATATTTTTTATTTTTCAAAATATTCGGGACACTGTGCAAGAGAACATATAAACATGTATACGTTTGGACCTTTTAAGGGTTAAGTAGCCTCCATTTTCTTAAATTTTTTACATGGGGAACCAATGTGGCAGATATTGTAAATGTATGTAATAGGTGGTAAGTTATCAAATGTTGTAAAGAGTTTTTATTTGGAGAGTAAGGCTCAGGTTAGGATATGTAGGAGATGAGACAGTGTTCCAGTATCAGTATTGTATGTCCTTAGATATGGATGTTTGACATCACTAAATTTTTTTAACATGTCAGCTGTCTCTCCCAAGGCAGGGTGATTTAAAAAAAAAAATATGGAAACACATTCACTGTCATTTACTAAATTACTGTCTTGCCAGAACTATTCTGACATTACATTTCAGATGACCCTCTGAACTGCAACATCATCACCCCTTTAGAAAAGTATAGGCACTGTTCTTCCCACCTCTAGGATTTAAATCCACCCAGCCCATTCTTGGAATCCCTTCATAAGTGTTATCTTACTCTTCAACTGTATATCAAGCCATAAAAACCATTTATCTCCTTTTACTCTAATGTGTTCATACAAGCCTGTTGGATGTTCAAACCCTTAGCTCTCAAAACTTATTTTACCCTCACCCTCCAACCCTTCCTAGAACAATCCCTACTCCTCCTTCCCTCCTCCCCAGATTTACACAGATCTTCCTTGCTTAACCCCTTGACTGTCACAACCCCAAATCCTGAGGTGTCTCCTGGTGTCACAAAATTTCCCCCCAAAAATTATTTTTTCTTAAGAAATGATAATCTTTTCCTGATTGTAATGACAAAAGAACGAAATTTGATGGAAAACTGACGGAATTACGCTCTCGCGAAGTTAGTGACCTCGGCGATATTTGCAAATCGGTGATTTCGCCCACTCTGAGCCCTGTTTTCGGCTAATTCCATTGTTCCAGTCGACCACACTCATAGCTGTTTCTTTAGAACTCCATTTTTTCTATCGATTGAGTACAAGGAACTTCCCATTTACCGATTTCAATTATCCAATAACGTGGTCAGAAATTTGCAATTTGGCCAATTTCACGAAAATTAAAAAATATGAAAATTTCAAAATAGGGTCCAGAATGAACAATGCAGACATTCCTGGCTCTAAAATAACATTTTCTTTTGTTCATCAATCACATCTCCAGGCCCCTCTGATATTACTTTTGCTTTCTATTTTGAATTTTTATTCAAACAACAAATAGAAGATTTACTGTTGTGCAGACTACTACAATATTGTAATAATTGTATAAATAATGTCAACCCATTCATGACTGCATATTAAAATGGCTACTTGGACATTTATTGGAAAATGACATCATTTGTTTACTTTTGAACATCGGCAAAAATCAAACATTTCCCCTACTTGGATCTCCATTTCAAGGTTGTTTTCATAGTAAAACCAATCAAAATCACCTGTATTTCTATAATATGTTTTCCATTCTATCAAATGAAACCAAGAAAACGAGAATACAACCATAAATACTATACAAAAATAGACCACAAAATCGGCATTTTAATTTAAAAAAACAGTCCGAGTTTTTTTTTTTCTCAATATGCATTGCGTGCTGCAGGATTTTTTTTATATGGTGCACACTGACAACACAGACCCATTCTCTCACATGTGGGCCTACCAGCTTTCTCCTGCTTGATTTGAAGTCGCTAGAATTTATGAGTATATATACGTCAAAAATGGTGGGTCGTAAGAGTATATATACAACCAAAATAGTCAGAGGGTTAATGCAGATTTGGTTTATGAGAATTTGTAGTTATGCTATGCCCTATTTTTATTGGTAATTCTGTAAAGGCAATATGCAGTGGTATACCTCGGGATACAAACAGCCCAAAACTCAAACAATTATGTAAGTGCTTTTGTAAGTGTGTTTTTGGGGGTCTGAAACAGATTAATCTAATTTACATTATTCCTTATGGGAACAAATTCGTTCAGTATCAGGACTCGAACAGCCTTCTGGAACGAAATAAATTCGTATCCCGAGGTACCACTGTATGGATATTTGTTGTATGTGATCAGTAAGGTTCATGAAGCATCATGACTATGCTTATTATGCCTAATTAACCCTTTGAGGGTCCATGCTGTAGTTCTACATGATAAGCTCAGCTCACTCAGATAAACTGTTAGCGGTAAACTTGGGCCTAGATATGAGAGAATGGGTCTATGCAGTAAGTGTGCACCATATAAAACAAATCCTTCAGCATGCAGTGCATAATGAGAAAAAACTGCAGCCGTGTATTTGGTTTAAAAGGACAACTTTGTGGTGTACGTATTTTCATATGGTTTTTGTGGTTGTATTCTTGGTTCTTAGTCTCATTTGATATAATGGAAGATATATTGCAGAAATAGACAAGATTTTGATGAGTTTTAGGATGAAAACAGCTTAAAATTGAGCTCAAAGTAGCGAAAACATTAATTTTTTTGCCGATGTTTAAGAGTAAACAAGTTACAGTGGTACCTCGAGATGCAAACAGCTTAAAACTCGAGCAATTATGTAAGTGTATTTATGTAAGTGCTTTTGTAAGTGTATTTTTGGGGGCCTGAAACGGATTAATCTAATTTACATTATTCATTATGGTAACAAATTCGTTCGGTATCGGCACTCAAACAGCCTTCTGGAACGAATTAAGTTTGTGTCACGAGGTACCACTGTACTTCACATGTCCAGTACACATCAACTGGTGGGTTTGATATGCATTCACAAATGTGCTGATATTATTTATACAATTTTACAATAGTGCATAACAGTAACTCTTCTATTTTTTGTGTGAATAAAAAATCAAAATGGAATTCATGTGTAAAGCCTGAAAACATAACTAATGAACAAAGGAAATGTCATTTTAGTGCCAGGAATGCCTACTTTGTTTATTCTGGAGTGTGAGCAAGGTAATATTTAGTGAAGGGATTCAGGGAAACCGGTTATTTTTATATAGCTGGACTTGAGTCCTGGAAATGGGAAGTACAATGCCTGCACTTTAAAGGAGGGGTTTGGGATATTAACAGTTTGGAGGGATATGTTGTGTATCTTATACATATATGCTTCTAAACTGTTGTATTCTGAGCACCTCTGCAAAAACAGTGATTATGTGTGAGTGAGGTGAAAGTGTTGGGGATTTTCTTTCTTTTTGGGTCATCCTGCCTCGGTGGGAGACGGCCGACTTGTTAAAAAAAAAAAATTGAAATTGGCATATATTGAAATTTGTGTGAAATTGGTAAAATTACCAATTTCTGATCACTTTATTGGGTAGTTGAAATAGTTGATTAGGTGATTTCTTGTGCTCAGTCAATAAAATGGAACACGTACTAGCTAAATATCTAAGAATTTGGTCTAATGGAACAATGTGATTGGCCAAAAATAGGACTCAAAGTGGGCAAAATTGCTGATGAATAAATATCGTTGGCACAGCCTAATTTCATCACTTTTTTATCAAATTTTGTACTTTTTGTTTCATTACTTTCAGAAAAAGATTATCTACCATTTCATGAGAAAAAAATAAAAAAAAGTTTTGAAAATTCCAGGACCCTGTGGGGAATTTTCAGACTGGAGTCTAGACCTTCAAGGGATTAAGTGTTTATGGCCTGAATGAACTTAATATTTCTGCCGAGGGCCTGGAACACGCATAAAGGAAAGGACACCTGCTCTTTTAGTCATTCTGTTCTCCATCCTCCCTAAATGCATAAACTACCTTAACAACCCCTCATCAGGCCTCTGAATTTTGGTAATCCCTCATTATCTAATCTCCACACTCCTAAATCTCTGTAAAAAAATTCACACCACACATTGCCGTCAAACACGACATCCCTACTGCCTTCAACCTCCTCCTCACTGCAACATTTACAACCCATACTTTCCCCATATACTGTTTTGGCAACTTTATACTCTGGTACATTCCCATTTTTGCCTCCATGGATAAAGTTCTTTGTCTCCACAAATGCCTCAATGAACCACCCACTTTTCTTTTTTTTTGCTTCATCCAGGAATGGTTGTGGGAGGGGGTAAAGAAGTTTTGAGTGCTTTGGGCTTGAGCATCCAGCAGATTTGTGTGAATGTGTTTGCTTGGAGTGGGGAGGGAAGTGGTTTTCATGATTTTACCTGCATTGGAGTGTGAACAGTGTAACATTTATGAGGGAATTCAAGGAAACCAGTTACCTAGACTTGATTCCTAGAGGTGAAAACTATAGTGACTGCCTGCTGAAGGAGGGATGGAGATGTTGTAGCTCAGGTCATTTGAACTGTGTTGCCTGTGTAATTCTGGAAAAACAGCTTTTGAATGAATGAAAGTGAATGTGTTCACTTGATTTTGGGTCACCCTACCTTGATGGGAGACAGCCCAGGTGTTAAAAAATAATAGAAAGAGAGCAAAAATCATTAATTGATGTTTCTTCTTGTTTAGGTATCTGGGATCGTAGGGAGAGCAGACCTGCTTTGTGCCCTCTTCGTATTTGTAGCTCTTCTGAGTTATGTTAGAGCTGTGAAGGGAATGTCTGAAGATATTTCCAATAAGGCACAGAACTGCTTTCGGTATGTATTGTGTTATGTGCTCTCTATGCAAAAACAGCTTTTTTAATTATTGATTGTTATGTAGAGAGCAGCAGAGCTGTGGCTAATGAGTATACCAGTAATTTAGTATTTAATGCAGATTTTGTGAAAGGTGAGCCGTAGTGAACTGTTAAGAAATTCCTGGCTTGACTCAGCATAAGACCTTTTCCCTTAAAATGTTGAGGAGGCTGGGATACTGTAAACACCTTAACAAATGATTCTCATCTGTCTTGTATGTAAAAATACTAAATAAAAATATATTTAGAAATTCAGTTACCTTTTATTATATGAAATAATGTTTTTGTAAAAATATTGTGATGTGTTAATTGATGTTTAGTTGCAAAAAAAATTGAGTAATAAATTAGTTTAGTTTAATAGTATGATGCTGTTATTGCCAAATATTGAGTACTTCTCATTTCCCAGTTGGTGTATAGCCCCTTGCAGATTTAGCTTTCTCCTGTAAAACTAATAATAATAATAATAATAATAATAGCAACAAAACTATCAGCAACAGCAAATAACAACAACAACATAAAGAGTTGTTATTCAATCTGTTTTCATTTGATTTACTGTGTTCATCTTTGTTTTAAAGTACACTTGGATTAACCTTGGCATCTGAAGCAGGTGCTGGTTTTAAGAGGAAGAAACCAAAAATATCAGTTGTCAGGGATGAGGTTGATGCTCTCATCATTTACATTGATGTCTCAAATGTCTGCAGGTCTTTTATACAGTAAACTTATTGGTGCCTTCTAGGCAGGTCCTACTCACACTCAACCATTACATAAGAAGATACAAATAGACCACTGCAGTAAGCTTACTGGCCCATACTAAACATATTCTACTCAGACCCAGCCTTTACAAAAGGAAGAGCACTGTTGTAGGCATGCTGGCCCTTTCTAAACTGTACCTTCTGTCACCCAACCATTACATAAAAACATACAAATGGAGCACTGCAGTAGGTCTACTAGACCAAACTAAACAGATCCTACCAATACCCAACCTTTACAGAATAGGGGAGTCTGCAGATGGCCAGGCAGGGCTTGATCACACCCAACCATTGTATAAAAATAGACTGCAATGCAGTAGGCCTACTAGCCCATGCGAGGTAGATCCCACCCACATCCCCCCCTATTACAGAAGAGGGGGAATATTGCATTAGGCCTGATGGCCCTTTTTAGGCAGTTCCTACTCACAACCGTTACATAAGAATGAAGGAGCACTGCAGTGTCAGGGAAACTCAATGAGCACTGCTGTGTGTCTACAGGCTCATGCTAGGCAGGCCATGCATCCTCACACACAAGTAGATCCAACACATGTTTGTTTAGTAGAAATTGATAAGAAATGTAGATTTATTATTTGCTGAGTTTTGTTTCTCAGAACAGTTATTCATCTCAAATAGAGCTAGGGAAAAGATTGTGGGATAGGCAGGTGACACCCTCTGTGTTTTCTCTTTAATCTGGCTTACTGTATTATATAACCAAATATTTGCATCTCATATTAATAAATTGAAAAGATAAATAAAATAATGTTTAGCCTGGAGGATGGAAACAGTGGTTAATCTGGCAACTCTGCAGTGATCCCTATTGTAAACAGACTGAAGGAAAAGTGCATTTCACATTTTATTCATGGATGCTTAATGCCCTTGGTCTACCTGCAGCTAGTTGGCTGTTTTTTAACATCAGGATTTCCCTAACAGTCAGCATTATTAGACATCATATCCTCCTATTGGTCTGTTAAATTGAAGTTTTCCTGTAGTTTCATAATGTCCTACTGTATACACCATAGATATTGCTCTCATGAACATGTATATGCTTATGATTTTGTCATCTTGCTTTATTATCATCCCTAAGCCAAACTGTTTGCATTTCTTCTGTTTGTTTTTACCTTAACAGGTCACTTTTTTATCTTTCTTTCTTTTAACACACCAGCCATATCCCACCGAGGCAGGGTGGCCCAAAAAGAAAAACGAAAGTTTCTCCTTTTACATTTAGTAATGTATATAGGAGAAGGGGTTACTAGCCCCTTGTTCCCGGCATTTAAGTCGATTCTTACGACACATGGCTTATGGAGAAAGAATTCTGTTTCACTTCCCCATGGAGATAAGTGGAAATAAACAAGAACAAGAATTAGTAAGAATAATAGAAGAAAACCCAGAAGGGTCTGTATATATATGCTTGTACATGCATGTGTAGTGTGACCTTAATGTAAGTAGAAATAGCAAGACCTACCTGAAATCTTGCATGTTTATGAGACAGGAAAAAGACACCAGCAATCCTACCATCATGTAAAACAATTACAGGCTTTCGTTTTACACCCACTTGGCAGGACTGTAGTACCTCTCTGGGTGGTTGCTGTCTACCAACCTATTACCTAGGACTTTTTTGTTTTATTTGCATTAACCCATAAATGGTCCAAATGTATATACAGTGGACCCCCGCATAACGATGGCATCACATAGCGATTATTTCGCATACCGCTTACTTTAATCGCAAAATTTTTGCCGCGCATACCGATTAAAAACCGCTCACCGATTTTCGTCCGAGACGCGTCCAATGTGCGCCCTCAGCCAGCCTCACATGTGCCGCCCGTGCCATTGTTTACCAGCCAGCCTCCGCGGTAACATCCAAGCATACACTCGGAATATTTCATATTATTACAGTGTTTTCGGTGCTGTTTCTGGAAAATAAGTGACCATGGGCCCCAAGAAAGCTTCTAGTGCCAACCGTACACCAATAAGGGTGAGAATTCCCATTGAAATGAAGAAAGAAATCATTGATAAGTATGAAAGTGGAGTGCGTATCGCCGACCTAGTCAAGTTGTACAAGAAACCCCAATCAACCATCGCTACTATTGTGGGCACCAAAAAGACAATCAAGGAAGCTGTTCTTGCCAAAGGTTTAACTGTGTTTTCGAAACAAAGATCGCAAGTGATGGAAGATGTTGAGAGACTCTTATTGGTGTGGATAAATGAAAAACAGCTAGCAGGAGATAGCGTCTCTCAAGCGATCATATGTGAAAAGGCTAGGAAGTTGCATGAGGATTTAATTAAAAAAATGCCTGCAACTAGTGATGATGTGAGTGAATTTAAGGCCAGCAAAGGTTGGTTTGAGAGATTTAAGAAGCGTAGTGGCATCCATAGTGTGATAAGGCATGGTGAGGCTGCCAGTTCGGACCACAAAGCGGCTGAAAAATATGTGCAGGAATTCAAGGAGTACATAGAAACTGAAGGACTGAAACCTGAACAAGTGTTTAATTGTGATGAAACAGGCCTGTTCTGGAAGAAAATGCCAAGCAGGACCTACATTACTCAGGAGGAAAAGGCACTCCCAGACATAAGCCTATGAAAGACAGGCTTACTCTTCTCATGTGTGCCAATGCTACTGGTGATTGCAAAGTGAAGCCTTTATTAGTGTATCACTCTGAAACTCCCAGAGCGTTCAGGCAAAAGAATGTCCTCAGGATAATTTGTGTGTGCTGTGGAGGGCAAACAGTAAGGCATGGGTCACTAGGGAATTTTTCTATAACTGGTTACACCATGCATTTGCCCCAATGTGAAAGATTACCTAACTGAAAAGAAATTAGAACTTAAGTGCCTCCTGGTGTTAGACAATGCCCCTGGTCATCCTACAGACGTGGCAGAGCGACTTATGGGGACATGAGCTTCATTAAGGTGAAGTTTTTGCCTCCTAATACCACTCCTCTCCTGCAGCCCATGGACCAGCAGGTTATTTCCAACTTCAAGAAACTGTACACAAAAGCTCTGTTTGAAAGGTGCTTTGTAATGACCTCAGAAACTCAACTGACTCTAAGAGAGTTTTGGAGAGATCACTTTAATATCCTCAATTGTGTAAACCTTATAGGTAAGGCTTGGGAGGAAGTGACTAAGAGGACCTTGAACTCTGCTTGGAAGAAACTGTGGCCAGAATGTGTAGACAAAAGGGATTTTGAAGGGTTTGAGGCTAACCCTGAGGGATTATGCCAGTTGAGGAATCCATTGTGGCATTGGGAAAGTCCTTGGGGTTGGAGGTTAGTGGGGAGGATGTGGAAGAGTTGGTGGGGGAGGACAATGAAGAACTAACCACTGATGAGCTGATAGATCAACTTCAAGAGCAAGAGGCCAGACCTGGGGAAACTGGTTCAGAGGAGGGGAGAGAGAAATTGAAGAAGTTGCCTACTACAAAGATAAAGGAAATCTGTGCAAAGTGGCTTGAAGTGCAAACCTTCATGGATGAAAATCACCCTCACACAGCTATTGCAAGCCGTGTTGGCAACCTGTACACTGACAATGTTGTGAAACACTTTAGGGAAGTGATAAAGGAACGAGAGGTACAGGCCACTATGGACAGATATCTTGTGCGAAAGAAGTCCAGTGACTCTGAAGCTGGCCCTAGTGGCATTAAAAGAAGAAGGGAAGTAACCCCAGAAAAGGACTTGCTACCTCAAGTCCTAATGGAAGGGGATTCCCCTTCTAAACAGTAAGAAGATAATGCTCTCCCCTCCTCCCATCCCATCAATCATCACCAGATCTTCAATAAAAGTAAGTGTCATGTAAGTGTGCATGCCTTTTTCAGTTTGTGTGTATTAAAATTAACATTTCATGTGGTAAAAAAATTTTTTTTTCATACTTTTGGGTGTCTTGCACGGATTAATTTTATTTCCATTATTTCTTATGGGGAAAATTCATTCACATAACGATTATTTCGCATAACAATTACCCCTCTTGCACGGATTAAAATCGTTAACCGGGGTCCACTGTATATGTTCTTAGTGCTAGTGCCCTAAATGTATTTTTATTATTTATTTTTTTTATTATCACACTGGCCGATTCCCACCAAGGCAGGGTGGCCCGAAAAAGAAAAACTTTCACCATCATTCACTCCATCACTGTCTTGCCAGAAGGGTGCTTTACACTACAGTTTTTAAACTGCAACATTAACACCCCTCCTTCAGAGTGCAGGCACTGTACTTCCCATCTCCGGGAC